TGTATGCCTATACATACTGTATGTACTGTACATTTATTGGCTTCCGTATTTCTTTTAATAAACATGTTTTAGTTAGCCGAAATGGGTATTTCATTTCCATATTAACCTAGGCAGCATTTTACTCATAAAATGTAGGAATATTGTAGGCTACTGCTAGCAAAACAATGCCCCAAATATGTAATCACTTTCGGTAATCCGGACACTTTTGGTAATCCGACACCCCTTTGGTCCCATACCTGTCGGATTATCAAGGGACAGCTGTAATGTTCAATAAAAGATAAAATGGTTGAATGAGGACAAGTTTCAATTAAGTTTCAAAATAGTTGAATGAGGACAAGAGAAAATTATTCTTTAACTCATGGTTTGTGTAGCCTAATATTTGAATATGATATGGCTGTTTTCCTTTTTCAGCCAGTGGTCAACTACTTGTGACACTTTAAACACTGTTTATTTTTAAACTTGTATGGACTGCAGAGAGTGAAGGGTGAAGAACATTAGTGTGGTAAATGCTAAATGCTATCTCACATGGCTACATCCCCAACATGGCATTTTAATTTTAACAAAATAAAATTCAGTTTACCTTTTTCTCAGGAGGCATTGTCAACACATGCCAGAAGCAAGAAAATTCTGAAAATACTTTTTTCAATTGACAATATTAATACAGAATTAGTCATTAGCAATGTCATCCTACTTGTCATGAATATTACGTGTTCTGTGAATATGAGAAAAGATACCGATAACCTTATGACACCTGTGTTGTATCTCTCAAAATGTTTGTGAATCCAGTCTTAAGTCAGATAATCAAGCATCTACTGTAACTGCTAATCATAGCAATAAAAACAAACAAATTAGTCATAATTCAAATAACATCCACTTTATTGACTAAGCATATAATGATAAGTACATCTTAAAAAATAAGGAATAAGTACATCTAAATTTCATTCCAAAATATCACTGTATCGTTATTTATTTATATATATTGTTTCTCATAATACCAGAATCTATCAAATTCAGTTTCAAAAATAAAAAATAATTGTTCTGATATAGAAAAATTACATTTCTAATTCAGATAAATAACTTCTTGCTTTCAAACCAGATAACCATTCTCAGTTATTCTGAAGTGAGTGATCATAAACTATATATTTACACAATTATTTCTTATTTGTTATAAATAAAAACATTTGTCAAGTTCTTTGAAAAAAAAACCCCTCTTAAGTAAAACCATTATCATGATTATAGTCCTTTCACAAAAAATCTCATGCTGAAAATTTACATTCATTCACTGGTTTTCCCCAAATAATTCAATGAAACCATCAAGTATATTTATTCATTTTTTTAATGTGTATCGGCGTATTTTTAAACTGGTTAATGCATTATTATCGTGTCCATAACCATTTCTATACAATTATTTTGTTTATTTTTTCAGAGTCATTAAGACTCTAAAATTTGATGACATATATCTCTCGATCTAACATGGTTGAAGAATGCTAGGAACGAAAACAAAAAATTAACTAAGGGTTGGGAAATTAAATAGTTTTCCTTATTTATGTGATTATGTTATAGTTTCATTCATAAAATATAGAGTGATTTCTAATGTTTAAAAACCATTTTAAATAAAAAGTAATACACAATTTAATTAGAAAATAATGTTTAAACTTTTGAAACATGCATAAATACAGAGCCACAATCTGAGTTTCTATTAAGTGAATTGAATTCCAAATTTTTTGTAAAATATAAATTGTTTCAACTTGGTAACATATGCAACGAACAGTGTAAACAGTATGGTTTTATAAATCTCTGTAGGGTTATAATTGACAATCTCTCTTCTATTCTTAACAAATTTATGCACAACTTCTAAACAACTCTATTTTACTTTAAATTCAAGATCAATATTGGATGCTTTAAAATGCAGTACTCTCTAGAAAGCTGTACTAAGGATCAGTTGTGACATAATAATGGTCACAGTATATTTCTATAGTAACAGAGTGGAATTTTAAAAAATGATTTTTGATAATTTCAGATTTGTTCTTGTGTTTTATGGCTTGCATTATTGAACATGACAGAGAAACCTGTCCAATGTGTGAGCTTGAATATTCTTTTATGCTCTAACAAAGCAGCATATTAACACAATAACTACTGCCTAAAAATGAGAGAATATTGATGAATTATTCAAATTATTATCTGGCAATCACATTTTCTTCATTAAAAATATAGTTAATATGTTAATTTTATTTTAGTAAATTCAATGGAGAATGTATCATCATCATCATCATGATATTATTATTTGACAGTAAAGTTGTTCCAACTTTATGACAACGAGTCATTCAGAGGCAATGTATGCTAACATTAATTCATGTATGATGATGTTGTAACAGATGACCACTCAAATCTTCAATAATCCCAGCATTATTAATCAAAACAAAATTTGAGAGATAAATAAATAAGACCTAAAACTAAGTGGTAAAATCCACCGAAAAATGCAACATCTGTCAAGAGCAGAATGCATTTAACTTTATCCTTCCGCACAGTAATTATCAAACTACTGAAATGAATCTTGGTTCTGTTATTTACACTTTTATTCTAACACATTAATTACAATTTATATCCACAAAATTATTATGTTGGGGATGATTAAGTGAAAATCAATGACAACGAAATCATGGGTTGTAAGGAAAACCAATTTTTATTTAAAACATTAAAAGAAATGTCACAGGTTATAAAGTTATAAATTTACACTTTATAAACAGTTCCTTTGATATAAAAACATTTAATTTATTAAATTCTTATCACAATTTGTTAAGCAGGTTCTAATATAAAATTGATAATTCAAACTATCAATCATAATGATATAGTAGTTTTAATGATAAGCTTTATAAAGAAAACGAAAAATGTGAATTACTGAATTATTAAATTAACTTCTGGCTCCGTAATTTATGAATGGATCAAACTTTTTGTTTAAAATTGAAATAATTTTCAATATAACTACTCCATATTTTATGAACTGAAATAATATATTTGTGAAACTCAGAAATTAAATTATTGTCAATAACTATAGAATATAATAAATTTTCAAGACAAATTTCATTTCATACTTAAAAGTTAATATAAATTATGGAAACAGTTTACACAAGGATGGTACACAATTTAATTTATGAGGCAGTTTTCTTACTAAACACAATTTAATTATGTTAAAGTTAGTATTATCTAAGTGATCATTTTAAATTACATAATCTTTCAAGAACTTAATGCTTTAAACTTGACTTCATTTGTGAAATAAAATAAACATTTTAATTTATGAGGCAGTTTTCTTACTAAACACAATTTAATTATGTTAAAGTTAGTATTATCTAAGTGATCATTTTAAATTAAAAATCTTTCAAGAACTTAATGCTTTAAACTTGACTTCATTTGTGAAATAAAATAAACATTTTTTTTTAAATATATGAAAAGTGAAGCAGAATTTGAAAGGAACATTTACCTATCATTTCTTATAAAAATTACATTATACAAGACCATAAAACTATTGAATTTATTATTGAAACATTTACATTTAGACTATGGCATAAGCAAACTTTCAGCTGGTTTAATCAAACCAGTTTTCATTATAAAGTATAAAATCATTTTCATGGAGTAATTAAATATATTTTTCCTTTATGTATATATTCAGTAAACTATTTAATATGAAGTATAAACAATTACCAGTTTTTAAATTCATAAAGAAGCTGTTATTAGCATTTAAATAATAATAAATATTACACAGTTTACTGCAAAACAACACTAGTGTTTAAGTTCTTTTTAATTTATGGTTTCTAATTAGAATTTAGTACAGGGTTCATAGCAGTTTGTCATTGTAAATTTCCACATTATCACCAAAAATTCCAGTGTCCTAATGTTAAATTTAAAGCATGTCCTGTACTTATGGCAAAATTAGTAAGTTTTATAACTTTGCAACAATACAAATTTCTTTATGTACAGTACANTTTTTATGAATAATCTCTCATAACTTTTGCAGTAAACGTCTGAGTTTCAATTTGTTATTGTAATTATTAAAAAATATTCATTATCCATTAGTTAAAATGTCAGTGGTTCAAAAACTTATTCCATGCTTTGCGAAATAAGACATATGAAACCACAACTTTAACTTACACAACCCATTGTAAGATTTAACTGTTTTGTATTGTTCTAGGTATTTTATGTAATATGAAACAAGTTCCAGAATCTGAGTATCTTTAACCTTTGATCAAATTTTTGAGGGTCATGCATTTATTAATAAGTAACAAAACCAAGATTGTAAATATAAAGTCTTAAAACAGTGTTTACTTTAATATTAACTTTATTCAGAGAAGCAGATTTATAATTTGAGTAACGACACGGTTTTAATAACCCATTAAATGATATACATCATTCGGTGCTATTAAGGTCAGATACTGCAATATTCCCAAATAATTATTTGCTTACTTAGCCACAATAGTGACAGATGATGCAACTGTTGCATTATGATTGGAAAAACAGATTTCTCAGAAAAAATAACATAAAATTTTACTAGAAAAATTAAACTTTAATGAATATTTATACACTATTTGCTTACAGCATGTCTGCCTTGATAATACACAACTACATTAGTAAAGTTCAATAGTTATTTGAAATCCTACTAATGTACAGTATAATTTCCTAATAAACTCTATTTCCTAACAATAATTGCATGACATGAAAATTTTATCAAAGGTAATAATATAATCTACTCAAATCTATCATTACAGGTTCCATATTATTAATAACAAAAGCACAAGTTACATTAAACTATCATTAAAGAATAGTGGCATTTCAATGTTTTATTTATTTATATATTATTAATGCATTTTAATATATGTTAAATAGGTGATATAAAAACTATTATTTTAAAAAAATGTATATATAATTATGAAAGTTTTATTGCATATTTTATCATTATTTTATCACTATCACATATTAAATTAATTGTTTTTTTTAAAAATTCTTACCAATCAGTAAATGTATTCTTCCTTCCATGTGGTGTACTTTCCATTTCTTCATCAAATTGGAATTCTAATTCTTCTTTGCTTTCCATTGTTTTTGGCTGTTCTTTCTTTTCCTGAACAAGTATACAATTCGAAAAATTACAAAACTTCCAAGAATGAATATATATAAAGCCAATTTAATATGTAATTATTTTCAGAAATTAATTTACAGTATCTTTACGTAAATAAAAATAATTTACTATCTTAAATTAAAAGATTATTAATATACCACTCACCAAACCATCACCAGTTTATGTCCCAAAAAAAACTGAACTGGTTTTTTAATGACATGAACTGATGATGGTTTGATGAGTGGTATATTTACAATTACATAGTTTTTGAGATATATAAAAGACTATTTCCATTAATTAAAATTTAATAAAACAATATTGACCAAACCGAACAATAATATGAATAACCAAACAGAATTTTATAATATATAAATTATATATAAAATCTAAATAAATGTATCATTCAAAATAACAATTATAAAAATTAATATTTAAACTGAAGAATCCTAAAAGACTACAATCTAATCATATTTTTCTGAAATTTTTATTTAAGCTACAGAACAATTTTCTATGAAAATCCAATTGTTAATGGTTGCTTCTTAATATAAATCATTATCAACAGTCATTAATTTGTAGCATACCGTTTAATTTCTTGCAATAGAAATCCACAAGAACATTTTTAGTTTGCTTTATTTTAGCACAGATTCTGACTACACTGTTTTTAAACACAACAGAGTAGCAAAAGGTATTAACTGTGCTTGAAACGATATGCAAAATCTACTAAAAGAGTCATCAGTTAAGATCAGCACACTTATAAAATCCATTTATTTGACAAATTTGTATAAAAGTAGCAATAAGCATCATTTTACACAACATAAATTTCTTTCTTCTGAAAGGCAAATTAGTTTATCTTCAGCTTTTACTTGAAAATCTCGAATAAAAGCTGAAGACAACTCGTTAAGGATCAAAAGCATTTTGTTTTAAACTAATTTGGCTACAAGAAAAAGTTATTTCATTTGTTTGACTAATATATTTACAAACTTTAATATAAAATTACATCAATTCTTTATTAAATATGCATTAACTAACATTTACTAATCATCTAACTGAAAACATTAGATGATTAGTAAATGTTAGTTACTGCATATTTAATGGTTATGTATTTATTATTGTGATAGTGCAGTTACAGAAAGGATTAAGTTCTTTATTACCTTTCATTTAGAATTGTAATTATCTACATAATTCAGAGATTATTTTTAATTCTGTAAACTATAAAAATCCATTAATATTTTCTTTAATAACTTATAAATGTATAAATATTTTTAACAAACTTTATTTAAAATAATAAAAATTTCAAATATAAATATTACTTTCGTTAAATTTAGAAATACATTTAAAACTCTTTGCAAATTAAAAAAAAAAATATTAGTAATTTCTTCAAATAATTCATGGTTAATTGCAATTCCCTAAGAAGTTTATTATTTTAATCAAAAAAGTGACAACCAACAACTAGTGATACTTATAGTCAGAAGTTATCTTTCATACCTACTTTCTTATATTAATTGAAATTGCTTAATAAAAGTAAGTAGGTACGAAAGATAGCTTAGAACAAAATTCAAACTTGCAGCTTTCATAAAACAAGTAAACATATTAAATTTTGTTAACTAATATCAAATTATGCTGAACCAAATTTTAAACAAACACATATACTAGATATTTATTTACTATCAAACTTAATACAGGCAAATATACTGAGTTTGCAATAAGCAATTAATTTTATTTATATTTTTGTTAAATATTCTGTTCTTGAAAGTAATTAAATTTCTCTTCTATCTTACAAAATAATTTGACAAAACTGGAAGCAGTACATCTCGTGTAACTCCAGCAATATATTTAATTAACCAAAAATGTTTTGACCTACTTCCAAAGGCCTTCTTCAGTTGAAACATCAAACTTAAATGAAAAAAGTATATTCAAAAAATGCATTAAATACAATGGAAATAAAAGAATTGGGAAGAACATTAAATTAGTTCCATTGTATTTAATACATTTTTTGAATATACTTTTTTCATTTAAGTTTGATGTTCCAACTGAAGAAGGCCTTTGGAAGTAGGTCAAAACATTTTTGGTTAATTAAATATATTGCTGGAGTCATACAGTGTGTACTGCTTCTTTCTTAGCTAATATTGCACATTTAAAATATAACCTCAAGAAATAAGTAAAAATATTTTAAGAGCATGTTATCTATTTGATAGTTTAATAAGATGATGAACCACAAAATGTAGGTTTTGTGGTTCTTTATCTTTTTTGACTATCATTTGACAAGAGTGATGACTCCTGAGAGAACTTTTAAAAGATATTTGCCTCTATTCAGGTATTATATACATTAAAAAACTCCCCAACTGGTCAACCTGTTAGTCAAACACAAGCCTATGACCAACTACCAACGTTTGGTAGTTTTACCCATTTAGTCACTACTAAATAAAAGAACGAATGCTTGAGGGCAAAATATGTATATCTTAATTTTTAAAATGTTTTAGCATAATCAAAGTACATGATAAACAGAACTTATCATGTTATTGCAATGTACTTTCATTGAATTTCTTTTAATAAACCTTATTAAAAGTACACAAAATAGATTTTGGTTTTTGAATTATATTTATTTTTAATAAAAATATGTTAATATTTCTATTTATAAAACACTAACAATAAACTTCAGCCACTTTCATTAATATCAAATGTTTTCACCCTTTTAGGCTCATCTTCAATGCTTAATTCTGAAATAAATTTAAAAAAAACCATTTTCTAATTTTACCATTACCTTTTGAATGTAAACATTTCCAGAAATGGAATCGCTTTTAAATTCCATTTGAAAATATCTCCTTAGAGATAGCACTGACTTTCAAAAGTTCAAGTAATGCTTAGTTCAAAACTGATGATGCAAACATATTTACAGACAAGATGTGTGTAAATATGTTTGCATCACTAATGGACGATGAATATATATACAGTGTTACACTTTATTTCACTTTTCCTTCAATCAAAATCAAACCATGTTTTTGTGCATTACATGATCACTTACTCAACACCATCCCAAACAAAAGATACAACACTGATATTTTAGAGCTTACTCACCTAGTAAGTCAACACTCCTCCTTTCATTTAATAATGAAACATTTATGCAGCATTAACATCCCTATAGCCTACCTCAGGAGATCTCTGTGAATTAGTACTAAGATGACTGAAAGATTGGTCCTGCCTATATTTAATGATTATATAATCTTGTGTTTACACTATGTTGATGATATACTAATCATCTGGACCAAGAAGTCTAACAGAGAATATTTTTTGAACACAGTAAACAACAATCTATGTGAATTAACATAAAAATTAGAGCAAAAGCAGTTATTATGAGGAAACTTTCTATGCATCAATATAAAACTACAAGAGTATAAATAAAAATGCTGGGTGTATTATAACCTAGAACACTAATCCCTCCACATAGTAATACAACTGTATCCTGTGACCTCAAAAAATATAAAGCCCTAGCATTCAAGACTATTATTAAAAGGGTGTCACACATCGGACACTGTTACTATTCAATGAGGTCAGTTTAATCTGTCCAGTAAGAGAAATAAATAATTTAAGACTCACAAACAACTAGAAATATGTTTTTTGAAAAGAATTTGGAAAGGATTGCATAATTTTAAAGACTGGAATGTCAATTTACGCACCAATTATATATTTAGTATTAGAATGTTTTATTTTGGAATACAAAGAATCTCATATGATTTTCTAATGGCTTAATAACTGAAACAGTCTCCTAAAAGTAGCCAAAAACATTCATTTTTCAAGCATGCAGAAATACATGCATATGGTATGTGGTGTTGTTTACTGGCATGTCATTTCCACAGCCTGGAAGGCATTGTTTAAATTATAATCAATTTGGGATTAGTCTGTTGTTTTTTGTTCATTTTGTGTTTTTTATTTACGTATACTTTTTATTCACCATAAATATGTTAAAATCATTATCTCTGAACTATGTATCACTTCAATTTTCAAAAAGTCAATGTTATCTCCAAGGAGATTTTTGTTTCCAAATGTGAAATTTGAAAGTTATCCTTTTCTGCAAACCTTTATGTTCAAAAATTCAATAGAGTCTTGAAAAATGATTTCTTTTTAGAAATTTATTCTAGATAGAAACACCGACGATTCCCAAAAAGGTTGAAAACGTTTTGGTGTTAAAGTGGCTGAAGAGTTAGTGTTTTATGCTTCAGCTTTGATGTGTCAATATCTGATTTTTAAATAAATTAAATTAAAACAAATTAAAATTAATGTAATTTTGTGTATTTTTTTTTTTAAATACTAGATTTAATCCACAATTATTATACAAATATTTATTGTTTTCCAGAAAATATTTATCAAATAGAACTAAAAGTACCAAAGAAACTGCTTACATACATTAAAATTGCAAAGAGATAAAAGTTTTGGAGCAAATAATTAAATTTTTTATGAAAGGTTTTGTCGAAAATACAACGTTTTCTTCCATAATGTCATGTATCTGTTGTTTGATTTCAACAAATTTACATCATAAATGTCATTTTTTTTTGTAGAAAGCAAATAAAAAGCTAATACACATTAAAAACAACTTACATACTATCAGCATATTAACTAATTAATCAAACATACCGAAGTTGACAGTTATTTTTATAATTGTTATTTATGCTAAAAAAAAAAATATATACAAATTTCATATTCAATCATACTTTTGGCTTTGAATGTGATCTTGCACGTCGTTTCACTTGTTTCCAAGCTTCTTCGAAAGCATTATTATTGGTTTGATTATTTTCGTTTACACTAGATGGTCCCGAAGTTATCACATTAGACTCCTCTCCTATGGATAGTTTCTCAACTTCATTAATTATTTCATTTGAAGTTTCATTATTTAATAGTTCTTTTTTGGGCTGATCACTTGTATTAACTGTTTTTTCTTTTTCTGTATAATCACAGAAATCTTTTCCATCCTGCTCCTTGCCTTCTGGTTCCTGTTCAGTATCAGCGTCGGTTCCAGCATCTCCATCCATACAAGATGAATAATCATTCGATCCGTGTAATTGCTGTTTTAGTTTATCATTCCCAAATGATTCAAAGTACATATCAGACATAGATGCACCTTGAAAAAAGAAATCTGTTTTGAAATAATTAATAAAGTTTAATATTTAAAAAGGTACAATATACAGTATATAAAAAAAGAATAAAGATAATTTTTAGTTTGTTATATGTTCTAATGCAATGTGAATAATTTGAATATAAAAGAAAATTTCTTTTTGAAATACTCATACACTTTGAACTAATCTACTAATGATTTTGTATAAATACTTCACACTAAAAACAAAAATATCCAGCAGGAACAAACTTTATTGAACTAAACAAATGTTTTCAATGGTTTTAAACAAATCGGCTTCAGGTTAAGTTATAATAAAATGTAAAGAGGAAGATAGAACACAATTTTTGAATGGAAAGAACTATCGTTTCATTGGTCAGCAAAGAGTGTGTCATCAATAATGTCAGCGTAACTGGCAAAAATTTTAATTTATCATTGAGTTAATGATACGTACAAGTTCATGTTGACATCATCAACAACACACTCTTTTCCAACTAATGGTACAATAGTTCTTTCCATTAAAAAATTATGTTATATCTTCCTCTTTACATTCTATTGCAACTTAACCTGAAGATAACAGTTTAAAACTGTTAAAAATGTTTGCTTACTTTATTAAAGTTTGTTCCTGCTGGATATTTTTTGGTTTTAGTGTGTTCATTTTTATAATTTTCATTCATTGAGTGGTATTTCATAAGTATTTCAAAAGAGCAGACAGTTTTCTTAGCATAAAAATCTATGAAGTGTTCTTGTTATTTATTTTAATTAACTATTTTGTTTTGTTTAATAAATCCTTTACAAAAATATTATTAGAAAATATAACAAACATTATTAGAAAAAAAAACTATCATTAAAATTTCCAATTTTAAATAAGTTTTATTAAAATAAATTCTTACCAGTATAAGGATATGGCTGCCCAGGAACAAAAGCTGGAACATCAGGATGAAGTTCTGTTGTTACTTGACTCTCAATTGGCCAAAACTCTGGATTATTGCGTGTACGTATCTTCAAATTATCCTTCAATTCAATAGCAGGAGCATCTTTCAATGCCTAGTAAATGTTTACAGTTGTTAATATANATTTCCAATTTTAAATAAGTTTTATTAAAATAAATTCTTACCAGTATAAGGATATGGCTGCCCAGGAACAAAAGCTGGAACATCAGGATGAAGTTCTGTTGTTACTTGACTTTCAATTGGCCAAAACTCTGGATTATTGCGTGTACGTATCTTCAAGTTATCTTTCAATTCAATAGCAGGAGCATCTTTCAATGCCTAGTAAATGTTTACAGTTGTTAATATAGTCAACAAAATGATTATGCCATAATAAAAAGAATGATTTAAAAATATATTAAAAAAAAAAAAAAAATACAAATTTATCATTTAATACATTGAACTCTGTTCTTGTTATTTTGAACAATAGTTTAAATAAAATGAATAAGTAAGACCAAAGTTACATATTTTTACAACTTCTACTGCACAACAAATCATAGGATGAGTTATTTTCAGCTTGTTTTAAACAAGAATCCTCTATTTTCCTATGAAACTAGACAACAGAGAAGAGTTTCACTTTCAAATTTATGTATGTAGATGCATTTGACAATAGCATTACAAACTATAGCAATAGCATATAGAGAAATCTCTTGAATCATAAGCATCTATCAACATAAATAAAAATTTCAAAATAACAACCTACTTACTTTAATAATTGGTCAATCAATTTTCCAAAGAATTAATTCACGTAAGAAAAAGTTACATTGGAAGAAAATTTGATAATACACTGGGCGATTGGTTAACGAACATAATCTGTTCCAAGACTTTGTTTGCTATCCGAATTGTTTGTTAACCGATTATCGATTAATCATAGGTTTTTATGGGAATTTGATTAATTTGTACTGGAGACCCCAAAAAAATAAAAAATACATATATACACAGTATTGCATTTTTATTAGTCATGTTTTTTTCCATTTGTGGGGGTTAAAGAATCTGTCCAATGTCGATTGCTTTTCTCTCTTCTTCAGGATTTTTTAGAAGTAATTAATAGCATTGTAATTGTAGAGATCCCGAAGCTTATTAACCTCAACCTGGTTTAGATGCCATTCTAAGACCATTGTTCTGATATCCTACTACTTCTTCAAAAGATGTTTAACCTGTCCTACGTTGTTCCTGAAAATATTCGTGTTGACCTGCGTGGGCGATCCCAAATATTTTCGTGTTTACATTGGAACGTTTTTGATACTAGATGTTGCTATACGTCACAATTTTTATATTAAAACGAACTTTCAAAATATAATTTTTTTCTATATTATTCAATATATTTGTTTTGTTTCTGCAACATAAAAAAATAATTTTTAATGATACAGTAAACACAATTATTATTTAAAGACAAAAAAAATTTTTTTTAGGCTTAACATTGACAAAAATTTAACATGGCGTCACAGGCAACAAATGAAAATTTCAACATCGAATAGGTTAATAGCGAATATTGGCATTAATCCTCTTTTTCAGAAGAAAACACCTCACTGAGTTTCTTGGTGTTCTTCTGACGTCAGATCCATTTCAGGTTCTATTATGAGCTCTTCAATATTCTTTATTTCTCAGATGTGATTTTTGTTACTCTTTAAGCTGCTTGAGTCTTCTTGATTATATAGTATCTTTCTTCGATAAGATTGAACTGTGGCCTACTGTACACCTGTTCGAGACATACTGCCCAGCAGCATCAGACATTTGCCCACTCTCTATCTTTGCTATTATACTCTCACCTTTCAAAAATAAAAACCAACACAAAAACTTGGTGAGTGCCCGCCTGACAGTCTCACGAATACTATAAAAAAATTGTTTCTGTCAGAAAAATAAAAGGCTGGAATTACAAGGGAGAGTTTCAAAATTCAGAGGAATACTATCTGTTCAATTTAAATTGGGTTGAGAGTCAATGTCAACGTCTCACGCATTCCAAAAAGTTTCGAATTGTTGCCTGAAGACAAGGGAAGAGCAATCAGTATTAATTATTTTACATTGCTTTTTCTTGTGTTTGTTCTGTGAGGTGTTCATTATCTGAACATAAATATCGTTCGTGAAAGTGTTCGTTATCCCATTTGTTCGTTAACCAATCACCCACTACATACTAAGTTTATCGAATATATAAGATGATTGTTTAAATTCATATTTAGTCCTATGACTACAAATAATGATAATTAGTGTGTTCATTTTTATAGTTTTCATTCATTGAATGGTATTTCATAAGTATTTCAAAAGAGCAGACAGTTNTATAGTACTATGACTACAAATAATGATAAAAACTATAAAACCAGAAAAATGCTAAAACTGTTCACGAAATCATGAGTTTTATACTGGATTAAACATTTCTGAGGACATCAATGTTTCGTCATCAGATCAAATATTTTAAAAACATTCAAATAAAACTGACTGCCCAGGAATAAAAGCTGGAACATCAGGATGAAGTTATGTTGTTACCTGAACCTCAACTTGAAAATCGTGTAGATAAATGCATCTATCTATCTTCATATAATCCATCAATTCAATAGTGGGAATATCTTTCACTGCCTAATAAATATTTAGTGATTAATGTAAGAAAATGGTTATGTCATAAGAATCATTTAAAAATAAAAAAAAATAAAAAATACAAAGTTGTCATTTATTAGGTTAAACTGTTATTTTAAATAATGGTTAAATAAAAAGAATAAGCAGGAACATGTTTTCATTAATTCTACTGCATGTACTGTAGAAATCTGATAAATTTCATTAAAAATAACAAATCATAGGATGAGTTATTTTCAACTTGTTTCGAAGAAGAATTCTTCATTTTCCTATACAGGATTCCCACAAAGTTTTTGAATTCCATATTCTTGACAGTTTTTTCAAAAATTCCTAACTCAAGTTGTTTTTTATTTCTAACTGGAGTTTCCTCTTTTCAGCAGTACTTTTCTCTTCTGAACATTTCCTTTTCCTTCAAGGAATTTCTCAAAATGCCTTCTGGCAGATCTAACAGAGAGAAGCATCTTGTAAGTGATTGATATTTCTTTCCTGCCTCCAGCATCTATTGTCACATCACAAACTTTTCTCTATGCTACAATGGTTTCTTCAAGCTAATTTTCAACACAAATTGGTTTATGAAAAATTCTCTCTCAACACTTGCATTTTCATGCAAAAATAAGCCCATTTTTACTATTTTCCAAAGTTCTACATAGTTTGGGTTGTTAAACAAAACAGAAGGGATAGAAATCACCAATTATCTTTTCAAATTTCAGTTCTTCCTCATCAAAATTGAGCTCAAATTTAAACTTGTCATGAAGACTTAATCTTCATGACAAGTTCCTAATGAATAGATTCAAGGCCAGTTTTCATAACTATTTATTACATGTACACCACAGATGTCAATATTCACAAAATATTTCCCATCTCCTTCACTATCTTTCTCTGATATAAGCATACAGCATCTTGATTAATAAAACTTAAGTTTATACTACACCCATTCACTGACTTTAAAGTAGAGGAATAACCATTACTAAAAACCATTTAAAAGACATTGAGCAGTTGATCTTCATAAAAACACACTAGTATAGTAATGTGTAGATACTTTATTTTGATTTATATCAAAAAATTGAATAAATAAGGTAACATGACAAGTCAAATTTGACTTATTCACTGCTTCATCTAAACATACAGCAAATTCTTTGCATAAATGTACCTAATCTTTCGGCATTCTATCAAAATGCAGTGCAAAGCCATAAGGTATAAAAGTACATAGCTTAGCCTAACACACTTTGAGGCATTACAATTATCTGGAAATGTGATTCTAAATGCCTCTGCAATTTTTTCACAACATAATGACAATTTACTTTGAACAATGTTAAGAACCCAAGTAATCACAACATTAGTACAGACAACTTGCCTTAAAATGAACACCAATAAGCACATTCTCGCATTAAAGTGAATTTTCCCATTGTTCTAGCAAAACACCATTGTCACAATGTTTATTTTCATGCAATAAAGTGAACAACAATTTTACTAGTATTTGTTAAAACAAACTGTAAATTATTTTCACAACCCTAAGAAATAACCCTATTTCCAATAATAATTTTATTCACATCAAAAAGTGTAAAAAGCAAACTGGTACTATAGTTAAAATTATTTTACTTAAACAGAACGTTTTTCTCCTAGTAAGCAAGGACAAGTTAAATCTCCGATTGCAAAAAATTCAAACATCTAGTTTTCGCAGCCATTCTACCACACTCAGAAAATAGGAATTAAAAGTTTTAGGACATCCACCCCCTGAAATGGATATAGTCCAGTACAAACATATGCTAGCTTGCATATCAGGGGTGCATATGATGATGCCAAATTTGGTTTCTTTTTACTCTTTTGGCACTAAAAAATACTTTCTACTTTTTAAAACAATCTTCAACAGAAAAAAAAAATCACAGATTTCTTTTAGCTTTGTTTCGTTTAACCATTCTGATATATTGATCCACAGTGAAGCAATGAATACAGTTGCCTCCCATTTTGTTTGATCTGAAAATCATTCAGAACATTTAAATTTATTTACAAAATCAAACTAATTTTATTTAACTTTATTTAGTAAATTAGAGCTTTTGATTTCCTATTAATTCTTAACTCCGTAAATTTGACCCTGAAAATCGTTAATACAAATTTTCGATAAAGCAAACTAGCTACTGTTCCTCTAGTGATTTATATTAATTCAAATTGACCATATCATCATCCTTAAAACTGAATATTTCTATAGATTTAATATTTCCCTTTAACAAACTAGAAAGAAAACTGTATTGCTGTAAGAAAAATGTACAATTTCATTACACAAGTTGCATAGATTAATTATGAATATTGCACACAATTACAACTTGTGTAGAGATGCTTCTGTTGGAATTTATCAAAAATGTTTTTTATAGAAGTTTGCGAAGACCTGATTTTGCCCGTCTGTTGTTAAATTATCCCATTACTACAAATGAAAAACTACTTTTTGCCCCAAATTCCAGAGTGCAAAACTTTTTTGCAAACATTGCAAAATTTGTGATATAAATCTTCATCCTTTCTACTCAAACTAAAATCTGGGCTTAAACACGATTCCAACCATGGCTCATTGAATACTCTTCTTTTTGAAGTTACATTATTTTAATTTAAACAAAAAAGTTCCAGAAAAATAAAACATAGTCTCACAAACATAGATGATGGTACTAAATAGAAGTCCTAAATAGAACTAAATAGAAGTCCTTTATAATGTACTAGGACTAAATAGAAGTCCTTTATAATGTACCCATAAAGTTGAAAAATTTACTACAAAATTGAAAGGAAATATATTTATCTGGGAATTATATGTTTGCACTTGCTTGTAACAACAAAGTTGTTTCTAAGCTTGCAAGTTTAACAGTAAAAATAATTGCAAGTAGTTTCTATTGACAACACCAACAAGTCAGAGCAAAAAAAAATTACAAAATCATAAAAGCAGCAATTTACATTCTAGTTATTAGAAAAGATCACATAAGAATTTTTATTTAAAATTAAATCATATTAGTGCTGTTTGCATCGTGGAATGTAATGTGCTAGAAGTGTGGTTGCCATATCCTAACACAAGAAAAGTAAAGCAAAACTAAACAGAGTTTGTTTTCTGTCCAAACATGAACTAAGAATTGAGTCAAAGTGCTAGCAAGTCAATAATACTGTTTTGGAGGCCATCTATGATAAATCACTTGTTGTTACTACAAGAGTAATGTCACTGTGGAATAAACAATAATATATAAAAAAAAATTGCACCTGTGCTACTGATCCTGTATCTTGAAAATAATGATAGACCTTAATTTTAATACACTTTTAATTTCCTCATTTCATATTATGTAAAACAACAAAGCTTAATCAAAATCAACCAATCAAATTTTTGAGAATGAACTCAATTTTATAAGTCATGTAGAAGAGGCTTTGTTAATTAATTGCTCTGTCTCCAAAAGAGAAGAAACACAAAGTAAAAACTTACTATTAACAAAAATTAATACATTTTCCTGATTTTTCTATCATTTGATTCAAGTTTCATGGTTGGTTGGATTTGGGAAGTTCAGTAGAAAGCCAAAAAGTACTAGGTCAAGACATTTGGGTATTAGAATTCCTTTTGGTTGTTTTAATAATTCATAAATCTTTCTATTATATACTGTTTTAGAGCTTCAAATATATGTTTATTGCTTGAAGATATGCCCTAATAGATTAAATTTGTCTGTCATCTTTTAACAGATGTAGAACTTGGTTATCATCTGAGAATAATTGTTGTTGGAAATAATAATCTCGAGCTATTTTGTATTAGAGACAAGTTAATAGTATGTGTCTGACCATAAGTAGGGTATGACAAGTTGAGCATGTCGATTGTATGTCCTTTGTTATCAGATAATTGTGTGTGACTCAGTTGAGCAGGTATAGTTTCTTTCCAGTTTTTCCACTAACTAATTATCCTGACTCAGATTATATTTTATCCTTTTTTCTGACTAAAATAAAAAATCATGACATTGTGGGAATCCTGCTATAAAATTAGTCAACAGAGAACATAATTTTCAAATTTATGTACACAGATGCTCTTGACAATAGCATATAGAGAGATCTATTGAACCAGAAACATCTATAAGCATTTTAGAATAAAAATGAATGGTTGAAGATATCATAATGATTATTTATATTTATATAGTCACAGAAAAAAACCCATATAAATCCTAAAACTGCTCAAGGAATCATGAGTTTTATTCTGGATTAAATATTTCTGAAGACAACAATGTTTCGTCATCAGATCAAATATTTTTAAAACATTCAAATAAAAAATGACTGCCCAGGAACAAAAGCTGGAAGGTCGAGATGAAGTTCTGTTGTTACCTGATCCTCAACTGGCCAAAATTCTGGATTAATGCGTGTACGTATCTTCAAATCATCTGTCAATTCAGTATTGGGAGGAGTATCTTTTCTCAACACCTAATAAATATTTACAGTTCTAGTTAATGCATGTAACAAATGATTATGTCATAAGTCATTTTAGAATATTAAAAAGTTTTTTTTTTATAAAGTTATCATTTGCTAGATCAAACTGTTCTTGTTATTTTTTTGAATAGTGGTAAAATAAGAAGAATAAGTAAGACCACATTTCTAAGAATTCTACTGCCTCAACAAATCATAAGGCAAGTTATTTCAACTAGTTTTGAACAAGAATCCTCCATTTTCCTATGAAACTAAACAAAAGAGAAGAATTTCATTTTCAAATTTATGTACATAGATGCATTTGACAATAGTATCAAAAACTACATCAATAGCATGTAGAGAAATCTATTGAATCACAAACATCTATAAACACAAATTTTGAAGTAATAACATACTTATTTTAATAATTGGTCAAGTAATTTGCTCAAGAATTAATTAAAATAAGAAAGTTTTATTAATGATCAATCTCACACCTTCCTTGCATCTTCCAACAATATTTTATTAGAAACAAACATTTTTGGTTTAGTTTATGGGCCTGCTTCAGTTCTATACATTCAAATTGAGCAATTTACCGAGTACCTAAAGCAGGCTGAAAAAGTTTGTTTCTAATAAAATATTGTTGAAAGATGCAAGGAAGGTGTGAGAGTGATTATTGTTAGAATCAGTTCCAGCTATGAACAACACAATGATTAAGACTTTTATTTTAAAAAAATTTGATGATATATCAACTTCACCCAATTGCTAAGCTATCCATTTCTATTTCATTGTTCAGAAGAAACATAAAAACAATATATAAAATCTGAATACTATATTTTTCTTTCCAAAATGAAATTCAAAATGAAAAGAAACAATATTTTGAAAATAAAAATGAATAATTGAAGATATCATCACATGATGATTATGTATCACAGAAAAACAAAATCTATAAAAATACTAAAACTGATCAAGGAATCATGAGTTTTATTCTGGATTAAACAGTTGTGGAAACATCAATATGTCATTATCAAATAAATATTTTAAGAACATTCAAATAAAAACATCTCCTAAGACGTTTGTTCCTTAAAGTAATGTGAAATTTGTGAATTTAATGCAGTTGTCAGGGGGGATGTGAACAACTCCGATAGAGAAAAACGCTCCTTGTGAGAATTAGATTGGAGGTCACCGTTTGTGATAACAATTAGATGGGAAAGTTGACACATAGGTGTCAAGAATGCACCATTATTGTCAACATTTGATAATCATGCGACTCCTTTCCCACAACAATTGAATAAAAGCTGGAGCCCACGAAAGCTCAGGGTGATCCAAAGGAAGTTATACTTGTCAATGTGCGCATCTCGTCTCCTGGACCTCCATACAATAAACTCAAATGAAAGAAAGGAGAAGATATTGGTAGAAGACAGACCATGGCTTCAAACTTCCATACTTATTGCCATACTACAGTTCTACACCAGACTACAATTCCTACAAACCATACCATTCATTTCCTCATTGAGGTGTTTTTATTAGAACATTGTGAACTCTCTCTCTCTCGCTCCGAGAACAGGCTTAGCTGCTAAGAGGCTTTGTATATATGTCTAATATATTTAATTGCATTTAACCAACTTTGTTAACCTTAGATTTTAATAAATGCTTTGTTTATTTGTTAAACCTGTCTCTGAAAGGATGCATGCCGACTTGCTCACCTCCCTTGCCACTTGATAAAAAGCCATCTGAAATGACAATGTGAGTGGTCCTTGCAAACCGTTGCCAAGTAAGTGGTCAGAAGGGATTTAACCCATGACATCTCACAGTATTTTGCCTAATGGCAAGACACCAATGTTTCCAAAAGTGTTTGATGCATAATAAAACTCATGATTCGAACAGCATTAGCATTTTTTAATAAACTTTTTCTTTCCATACATATAAATATATGGAGTTAACCAATTCAATAGTGATATTTATGCTAAACAGAATTCATAGTAAATTTGATTATTATTAATTTAATTATAATAAAATTATTATATTTACCTCTATCACTAAATTTATATCTTGAGTTAAGGCTTGGACTCTATGAAAACCAGCAATAAGTGTAAGAGGAAGATATCCTTGTTGATCCATTTTTCTTCTTAGGAAGAAATCTCTTTGTAAATTTTCTTCAGAAAAGTAATATTGTCTAAAATGAAAATTATTATAAATTAAGTTTATCATCCTAAACAGATTATTATATTGTATGTAATGATAATATTCAAACATACCAAACTAAGATTACATGAACTATTTATGATCATAACTTTAAATATTTTGTCTATTTAACGTATAACTTCCCACAAAGATCAGCTAAACAATTATAAGTATTTTATAATTTTAGATAATAATGAGGCCAGCTCTAATACAGTTATTCACTAGTTTTATAGTTATTTTAGTTCAAAATGTGGTTTAAACAAAATCTAAACTAGAAGTTCCTTCTCAAAATAGCACATTGATTATACATTATTAGTATTCTATATATAATAATTCAAATTTGAATAGAACGGAGTTCAATAATCACTGTGGTTTGAATATTAGAACAAATAATTATATATAGTTAGCCTTATAACAAATAGGGTTGGCATCAGGAAGGGAATCCGACCATAAAACCTATGCCAAAACTATATGGAATGTCTGCAAGATTAAAAGTAAGTTATAACTGTGTTAGGATGTCTCCCCGAAGTGATGTGCAGTCCTGTCGCCTGAAAACTATGTCAAATGAGCTGACCAAGGACGGGTCTGGATAAAGTAGTTAGTCCAGAAAGAAAAGAAGAAGAAGAAAAGTATAAGAATAAGTACTTTAAACATTGGAACATTAAATGGGAAGAGTAGAGAGTTGGTTGATCTTATGTAAAGAAGGAGAGTGAACATTTTGTACCTGCAAGAGACAAGATGGAAAGGAAAAAAGTTAAAGAACTTAGTGAAGGTACAAGCTGTTTGTGAGTGGAGTGAATAAGAGCGAAAGGAATGGAGTTGATAATATATGCTCTTCAGCCAGGTAGTGGAGAAGAAAAGACAAACTTTCGGACAGATCTTGACCAAGTTATAATGTGTGTTCCTATGAACAAGAGATTAATTGTGGGGGCAATTTAAATAATCATGTTGGGAAGAGGAAAAATGCAGAAAGAAGAGTTCTTGGGAGGTGGAGTGTGGGAGAATGGAATGGAGAGGGAGAAAGATTAGTCGATCATGCTGTGGCTTTTGACCTTGCTCTAGTTAACACCTACTTTGAGAAGAAAGCAAATCAACTGGTTACATACATGAGTGCAGGTAGATCCAGCCAGATTGATTTTTTCTTGTGCCGCAGGAAACATCTGAGTGAAATGAGAAGGTGTTAAATGGAGAAAGTGTTGCTGCACAACATAGAGTTCTCCTGGTGGATTGTGACTTTCTTATGGGCCATTGTAAGAATTGTATTAGCCAGACTGAACAAAGGATCAAATGGTGGAGATTGAAAAAAGAGGAATTAAAGAAAAAATTTAAGGTAAAAGTGTTAAAAGAAATCCAGTTTCCAGATGATGTGCAAACATGGTGATTCTGAATAGTAATTGCATTTTGAAAGTTGGAGAAGAGGTTTTGGGAAAAACTTCAGGGAAGAGATCGCCGGAAAGACAGGATCTTTAGTGGTGGAATGCTGAGGTATAATCTGCAGTTAAACAAAAGAAAGAGGCAAAGAAAAGATGGGATTTGATGGAAAGGTCAGAAGATAAAGAAACCTACCATTTGGCAAACAAAAACTAAAAAGGCAGTGGCTATTGCAAAAGCAAAGGCTTTGGAAGAGGCTTATAAAGTTTTCGAAAGGAAAGGTGGTGAAAGGCAGTTGATGAGAATTGCCAAAGCAAGAGATCAAAAGATTTTACCTCTATTAAACTGATTAAAGATGATAAAATGATATTACAAGATTATAAAAGGGTTAAGGAAAGATAAAAAGTATATTTTAAGAATTTATTAAATGAAGAAAACCCCAGAACTTTATATGAGAATGTAGAGGCAAATGAAGGAGTGGTGCAAGATATTAACAGAGAAGAAGTGGAAAGTGTGCTTAGGAAAATGAAGATGGGAAAAACAGTAGGCACTGATCAGATTCCAGTTGAGGCTTGGAGAGGTTTGGGTAAAGAGGGAATTGGACCTTATGAAGAAACTCTGGCAGTAGGAGAAGATCCCAGATGAATGGAGGAAGAGCATTCTTGTGTCGATCTTTAAAGGTAAAGGGGATGTACAAATTGCAGAAATTACAGAGGTATTGTCCCATACTATAAAGATTTGGGAGAAAATTGTAGAAAGAAGGATTAGGCAAGAATTTGAGATTGGAGAGGAACAGTTTGGCTTTTTGCCGGGAAGGAGCACGACTGATGCTATCTTTGCTCTAAAAGAGCTGATGGAAAGGCACAGGGACATGCAGGAATATTTGCACATAGTGTTCATAGATCTAGAAAAGGCATATGATAGAGTACCAAGGCAAGATATATGGAGATGTTTGAGGGAAAAGAATGTTCCAGAAAAATATGTTAGGCTCGTCAAGGAAATGTACAAGGGAGCAGAGACCCAAGTTAAGAGTAGTGTGGGCACTACAGAAGGGTTATTTATTAATGTTGGTTTGCATCAGGGATTGGCCCTTAGCCCTTATTTGTTTGAACTGATAATGAATGTGTTGGTGTGTGACGTGAAGTGTGAGGCGCCATAAAGTATGCTGTTTACAGATGATATTGTGCTGTGCGAACTTTTCCAAATAAAGGCTGAGAAGAAACTGGAAGATTGGAAAAAGTTTTGGAAGAAAGAGGCATGAAGATTAGCAGAACTAAAACAGCTTATATAACTCTGGATGGTAGAGATGAGTGTAATATTAAAATCCAAAATGTGCCACTCTCTTTTGTTCAGAGTTTTAAATATCTTGGGACATTTGTTGAGATGGGAGGAAGATTGAACTCAGAAGTGCAGCATAGAATTCAATGTGGATGAATGAACTGGAGGAAGATGAGCAGTGTGTCATGCAACAAGAAAGTTAGCTGCAATCTGAAAGGAAAATTATATAAATCAGTTGTTAGACCTGCAATGTTATATGGAGCGGAGACATAGGCAATAACAAAAGCCCAAGAAAGAAAGATGGAGGTGGTGGAGATGAAAATGTTGAGATGAATGTGTGGAGTTTCAAGGAAGATTAAAGTAAGGAATGATTTCATTAGAGGTTCTGTTAAGGTGAGCCCCTTGAGCAAAAAGATGCAAGAATGTAGGTTGAGTTGGTTTGGCCACATAGAACAAAGAAGTGTAATTATGTTGGAAAGAAGATTGGAAAACTGGTAGTAAAAGGAAAGAGGAAAAGAGGAAGTTGGAAAGATAAGGTGGAAGAAGACTTGAACTAGAGGGGACTTAAGAGAGAAAAAGCCCTTGATAAGGAGAAATGGAAAAAACGTATTATTAGAGAAGGAAACGCCAACCCCATATAAACATGGGAAAAGGCAAAGATAAAAAAGTATTCTATATATAATATATCATGACTACAGTTCATTTATAGAATCAACTTTTTAATATTTAAGCAATTCACATGAAAAGTTTTTTCATTTTAATCAATTTTTGTTCCCTCATGTATTCCCATAATTTAGTTAATTTTTTTTTAATTAAAAAAAGTTAGAAAATAGATTTATCAAATACCAAACTTTATCACATAATTGTTAAATTTGCCAAGTTAAAAAAAGAGTTTGGAACTGTAGATAAGTGTATTAAAAACATTAGCAATAAAATAATTTAATTCAATCTCTATTTAGATGAAGTCTAAAAAAATAATTTGATTTTATAAATATTCAAATTTTCTATGCGTTTTATTTTATTATTTTCAATTTGTAGTAAATATATTATTTGGCACTGTATAAACATATTTTTATATTGTAATTATACAGTGTCTTTCAAGCAATATGCCAAAGAATAAACTACTGTACCATTTTACAGTCAACACTTATGCAAATTAATTTGGAATAGTCTTGTGGCCGCCAGCGCCAGAGATCCTGAACACTGTCTGGCAACACTTGCCAAGATCACGAACTCTGTCTGGCAACACTTGCCAACAAGAGTGGGTGGCAACCTCAAAAAAAAAAAGGCGCGAAAGTTCGTTGGATTTTGTCCGGGTGTTGCCCGAGGATGTCTGTGACAGTTCTAACCTTTTCTAATAAAGTTCTTTTTTGTTACTGTTCGTGTTTGCATGCTTAATGTTAGATCTAAACATCAGTAGGATTGAATGACAAAGTGTCATTAGATGCAGTGAACAGTCTGTTTCAGATGTTGAAGGAAAAACAGTTTTAGTAATGAAGGCCTAAAACTTGAGCAAAAAATCTGGATTGTGGAGCTCTCTTGATGCATCAAAAGGTTGTTGTCACAAAGAATCAAGTCACTATATTCAAACTTGGTCAACAGATGTATAAGTGAATCCACAAGTTGTCTAGTGACTTTATGATTGATTTTACAAGTATTTGATCATCGATGACTCTAAACAGCAAACTCCTGCATAGGAGAAAGAATCAGTAACTTCAAGTCAAACCAACATTCAGAAGGTCAAAAAGGCTGTCTTGGGTCCCCAAGCTTGGACAGTACTATCAGTAGAATTTGTCAGAAAACTGGAGTATCGTATATTTTTCCATACAAAATCCACTAAATTTTGTATGGAAAAATAAAGAGCATATCTGTACAAGATCCAAATTTTCAGAGATTCCTCCAGGAGCAGAATAACATAGTAAATGCAATTCTCAACCTATCAATGAAGAAGTCAATTTGTGCAGTTTTTGAATGCACCCTTTCATCTGAATGGATATGTCAGTCAACAAAATTATTGATTCTGGGCAACAAAAAACCACCAGCAATTTATAAAACTGCTAATCTTCAGAAAACAACTCTCTGAACAGCAATACAACACCAAGACATAATTGAACCAATATTCATCCATCAAATCACTAATACTGCCATTTATTCTGACATCTTCAAAAATGAAGTTTTACCATTTTTCATTATATTGGAAAATTTGGACAAAACACAGCTTATGAAGAACAGCACTTGACGACATATCACTAGGATCAATGTGAAACTCCTTTTCAGTGTTTTTGGTGATCATTTGATATCCAACAGTGTTCCAGTTCTTCAGAAGAATATGGAATAGGCTCCCTAGTGACCAGATCTGAATCCTTATGACTACTTCCTGTAGGATTGTGTCGAGGACAGAGTACAGGGAAAGCCCAAAAACCATCAGAACCCAGAGAAAGTGTGTTTCTGATGCAATTAAAAGTTACACCCTTGAAAATTTTTGAAATAAGATTAAAATTAGTGATTGGCACCAAAGGTGAACACTTCCAGATTATTATTTAGTGTAAAAAATATGACAGGCAGGTCGTCACATTGACATAAGAATATGTTAATTAATCATCATGAAGAGTTCACAACAGTAACCAATAAGTAATTGGCATATTACTTGAAACACCCTGTAGATAATAATAATAAACTAACTGACTTTTACTGCTACCACTAAACTGCTGCTACTAAAGTAACTACACTAAATATTTAAATAAAATACAGAAATAACATTTTTTTTATTATAAAGATTAGAGACAGAAAATAATAAACTTTACTTTAAAAATACTTAATGCTTACATTTGATTACGTATGCGTGTTTTTAATGATTCGTCATCCAATTGAACATATGAATTACTATAATAAAATGCTCCTCCAAGGAATGGAGTAATGTAAGGTGTCGTAGGGGCTGCTGAAGGTTCTATACTATAGTCAACAAAGAAGGAAGACACGTCGGTAAATTCATCTTGAATAGACGCTAGAAAGGAAAAACAAATTAAAATGTGAATTGTTTTTGACTACTTAACAAATATATTTCACATAAAGAATTTAAAATATACAAAACTATTAACTTAACGATAGTACTTATAACTTATTATAATTAAAAATCAGTATTATTTAAATAATATTTTATGAATTGTTTAATATTCTGAGTATTAATATCATATGATCTTATGAGTAGCCAATTATTTATTCATCATTAATAGTGCTATAATAATCATAAAGCTACAATAATAAATAATAAATAGCTTATATATATATTAATATACTTATACTGGAATAAATCTGTTAAAACTTACGCCTGTTTCTTGAAGGCCAAGTCCCTCTTCCTTGTCCTCTTCCTCGTCTGCCTCCTCTGTAACTTCTGCCTTTCCTGCCTTCGTTTTGATGTGAATCTTTCTTATTAGAAGCATCTAAATTAAAATACAAATCAAAACAAAACATATTTTAGTATAGTAATTTTATTTTTGATAATGATATCACTATATATTTTTAAAATAAAATAAATAACTAATTGCTATTCAAAAGGTATACATACATTATATAAGATATACAAATAAATATGTAGCAAAGTATAAATAACAAAAAGAATTATGATAATTGCTTATTTATATAGAAATATTAAATAATTAAAATTAACACTAAGAAAAATATATTTATTTTAAATTCTAGGTAACTCAAAGGTTCCAACTAATTATTAAATACAACGGCAAAATGTCAAGACCAATGGCTTGCCAACCATAGACAAAATAGTTAAAGTGTCAGCCTACTATACTGGAAACCAAAGATCAAATTCAAGGAAGAAATCCAAGAAATTTTTCAGGAGCAATCTTTCCCAAAAATGTTTTGCCCTGTCATTGTGGTTCTGGCCAAATCCATGGTGGACATATGAAAGGGCTTTGTTGACTGGAATCACATTGATGCAGCAAAATATCTTTATATAAAATGTAAAACAATGTAGCACACATTGGCTAAGTCAAACCATCATTAAACAAAATGTTTTAAATTCAAGACCATTCATTTCGTTCGACAGTATATGTACACTGATGGGTTGCAATTTCAAAATTGTATCTCATGGAATCATGATATCTTCAGATGAAATGTGTGCAATTCAATTATGTTGTTGTCACAATGGAAATGGACACAGCAGTGTCAGGAAGACAGAAAGCATGTTTGGATGCATCCAATTAACAAAAACAAAACAAAATTTATTAAAGATGGATCAAATTTAAAAGTTTTATTTGTTAAGCATTGATTGTCTAGTAACATTTAAAACACAACCAACAGATAAAATGCAAAAACTAATACTAATCTAAGAAAAAGCTTACTAGTTTAGTTTATTATAATCAACTACACATACAAGCTATACACAGAAAGCATCTAGTCAGATGCTAATGCATGCACACAAGAAAGTGTTCACCCACTGAGCAAGAATCTTTATTTGCATATCTGGCAATTTTAAGCATACTTAAACTTGTATAATCATGTCTGTCCATGGACCACTCATTTCCCTTATGTAAAAATGTTAAAACATTTGGTCAAAAAGTGTTTAATTCTGATTTATCATGTTTTCGTGTTTTGTTTGATCAATGTGCATGTTGGCATACGTAAACCATTAAAAAAAGTGTTAAGCATGTCTAGTCAAACTTTTCATATAAAGATGTTTTTACTGCATCAATATGCATCCAGCTTTATCAATGTGAGAGAGTTAAATGATGCCAGATTGTTGCTCTGGAAACCCAGGTTCATGTCTGGATTGACTCAATTTTCAAGAATGGATCACTCAAATATGTCAAATACCATCTGTCGCCATTCGGTCATTTTGTAAGTCAGCCAAATTCATAATGAACTTGCAAAATAAAAATCATCTCAGTATCCACAAAATAGAATGATTTACTTAAACTATAAAATGCAATTTTCACGATAAAATATAAGCATACAAATCCAGCCTTTAGACTTGTTTCATGCAGATAAACTCAATCATGTATGATTGCTGTTATATAAAAAGTAAGAATAAATACATCAACAACAAAGAGGTTGCTTCTTTCATTCTACTGATTTCACCATTTAATAGTTATTACAAATGTTTTATTTATGTGAGTTTCATTATCAGATCAAAATCAAACTTTATTAGCAATCTTGAGTTTAAGTCTGAAGAAGTGGTATGTAAAATTTAAAATTTTACATACCACTTCTTCAACAATATATAGTATTCAACAATATTTGTTATAAATTATGTACGTATAAATAAAATGAAATTAAATTCTAACTTACACCAGAAGTGTGCTCATGTGCATACTTTAAAAAAATCAGAATCTGAGAATTTATGAAATGATTTATGAATTTTCTTTGTCCTGTTACAATAAAAGGACAAAGAAAACACTAACCTAACCTGTTAATCTCACATAAAAAAGAATGAATATACAAAAATAACACACAACAATCTTAATAAACATGTATTTCTTGTTTACAGTTCTTGTTTTGTATTTTTTTTTGTCTTTTCATGTCCTTTCATCATTGTGTTTAATTTTAGTAGCTATTTACTTTTTTATTGTTTTCTACTTTTTTGACTTTGGCCTTTTGTGTCAAAGAAAAAATTCATAGAAATCATAAAAACCGATTATCATTTATAAACAATGAAAAATTGATTTTAATGAATTTAAAAAAAAAAAAACTATTATTAACAAAAACTCTCTCTATTGCTTATTGAAAGAGAAACAATAATAAATGACTAATATGAACAGCATTAATCATTTGAGATCTTTTTTTTTTTTTTTTAATTTCTGTAATCTTAAAGAAATGCTCACATAATATACAATGCATGTCATCTTAATGCATCTTATCCATTTTCACTTAATTTTCAGTATTTAATAGTCTTTTAAAGCGTTAAACTTAACAGTGCTAACGTTGGTTTATAAACCAACATAGAAAATACTTTAAGTCTCTTTTTGAATGGTAAAATCATGTCTGAAACAGTATAAATTCTGAAACAAAATATTCTGCTAGCTTATAATGGGTGGACAGGTACTGTACTTCATCACAAGTCTATGCACATGCAGTTTTGGGGATTTAATCCCTTCCACTCAGAAAAAAACTTTTTAAATAACACACACAAAAAAACCTATAATGTAAATATAAAGATTAATTAATTTTATTATGAAAAAAGGTGTTTTTTTAAACTCCACCATTTTAAAAATCTTGCATATGCCTGCTTCTTGCTTGATCTAAACTCAAAAATGTTAAACTTATTTTTATTTTTATTTTTTTTTTTTAACTCTAAAGCAAATAAAATTTCAAAACTTTTCCAGTCTTTAAGAAAAACAATTGTTAGGCATATAAAAACTTATTTATGATGTTCATATTATGACAATTTATTTATAGTATTTAAAACTGCAAACAGATGATAGTTTGAAAGTAGGACTAGTTAAAATTAATGGTCAGATGTTGACCATTAGCATGCACAACTTGTTTTTAAATGTTGCTATTCTTTGACAACAATCCAAACATTTGTTAATTGAACATTTTAAAATTTTAATCANCAAGTAAATTACAAAGAAAACAAATCTACAAGCAAAAATAAACTTTTCAAAGATGAGAACTTTGACATAATTCCAATAAGTATCTGTTTTAATTACTTTCTCATAGTAAAAACATATACTTGTAAATAAACTTTTATTCGTTTCTAATTAAATATTGTATGTGGTTGACGTTGACTTCTACTTTTTCGTTTGAGAAACAACACAAAAATTCTATGAAAAAATCTAATATATTAACACGCTGAGATTACAGTATTTAGTTAATTAAAGTTGAGAAATCTCATTGTAAAAATCTCATGCAATGATATTATCTATTTGTCATCCTAATTAAATAACAATTTAAAATATTCAATTCTATTATTTAAGATCAGTTAGAGCCATTTTTCCCGACATTGTATAGTGATTTCAAGCTGTGTGAACTATACAAATACAAGCACAATCAACCATTGTCATGCAAAATACCTGTTTTATGGCATTTGGTGTGATCAAAAAGAACCTTTATAAAGTCCTGTTAAATGGAACTTCAATATAGGTAATCAGTAATGACCAAGATGGGCAACATTAAGTGGTTAGAATTATACATGAGTATGAAATGACTGACTTAGTGCTTCCAAATGATGACCACGTTAGAAAATTAGTCTTTCAAAGAAGTCTAAGCAATTAATCAATTTTTATGGGCCAAAAAAAATTCCATCTATTTGAAATCCACTGAGATATGAGATAAAAGACCATTAGAAGAAAGCATCCTGAACCTCTTAAAGTGTTATGCTCCCCACGACAATGCAGGACTTCATAGGGCACAGCAGATCGTGAATTTGCTGCAGGCATTTCAATAGGAAATACATCATCATCCTTCCATAAAATGTCGATCTGGTGCCTTCTGACATTTATGTTTTTCCATATTTAAAGAACTTTCACTTCATTAGTCACTATTGACAAGTAAAAGTTATCATCATTGGGTGACTACAGCAACAGAGGATAGGATAAACAAGCATGCGACATTTTTAATGTTTTGCATGTTGAGATGGGGGAAGTAGCCTCCAAAGAAAGGTCATCCCATGAAATTGTTATTTCTTAATGGTGTATGAAGATGCAACGAAACAGGACACTTTTACAGTTCATCCAATAAAAATTTTGTTTGTAAATTTTTTCAAAGCATGTTACATATTGAAGAAAAATGCCTGATGAGTCTGGTTTTGTTGACATACAAACTGTTACCTGCAGATAAGTACTTTTATTACTAAACTGAAAACATTTAGGATTTTTTTTTTGTATTACTGGCTTTTGATTACTACCTGTAAAACTGACTGAACAAGTCTTTAACGAGATATTTATTTTGCCAAATTTTCTCACCAGAAATCAGTTAACTCTACTTAATATCAATCATATCATATACTGCACCTCAATAACCTTTATAGACCAGTAACAACAAACATTTAATGAAAACTAATGTTTACGACCATAAACCACAGTCTTCATTAGGTTTTTTAACCAGTAAGATTTGAACACTACATCGTATACATTTTATCATTACCATATAAAATCTTCCTTATTATATTAATTTCACATTACAGTTAAGTGAAAAATTCTAAAATACAATTAAAGTTTAATTTGGCACCATCATTTATTTTCCTATGAAACTGGTACTGAATTTAACCTGTCCTACATTGATCCCGAAAATATTCATGTTGACCTCATTAACCTGCGTGGGCAATCCCGAATATTTCCGTGTTTAAATCGGAACGTTTTTGATACTAGATGTCGCTTCACGTCACATTTTTATATTAAAACAAACTTTTAAAATAAAATTTTTTTCGTTTTTATGTTATTTAATATATACATTTTGTTTGTGAAACATAAAAAAATAATTTTTTACGATACAGTAAACACGATTATTATTTTTGAAAAAAATTAGGCTTAACATGGACGAAAATTCAACATGGCGTCACGGGCAACAAATAAAAATTTCAACATCGAACAGGTTAAGTACTTCAAGCAATAAGAATTATTTGTGGTAACGAGATCTACTTAAATTTGAATTTGAAAATCACCAGATTTAGTGACAAAGTAATTTGTAATGCAAAATATACATTTGATACTTCATAGATATGGAAAGAGTCTCTAATATTTATGAAAAGATCCAGTCACAAATAATTCTTGGCCGTCAATGAGAATGGCACTATTTAATAATGCAGTGTAATGAGTTTAGACTGTACTTAATTCTATTATTATAAATCACTTTTCTAAAAATTTTTAATCATAAAACCACTAACCATTACTACCACTTGCTCCACCTTCTGCTGCTGCCTTTTCCTTTCCCTCTTTCTTTTGTTCTTCTGATTCGCGTTTATACCTAGGAGATCTCTCTGCACCATTTTTAGATTTTCTCCTTTCTGATTTTGATGGTTCTATATCTAAAGGAACCCATTTTTGTTTTGTACCTACTGGAAAAGACAATAATAAAAAACACATTATAAATCTAAATTTTTATATGTATATATACAGTATAACAAAAACAATTAATAAATATATTCTGATTCATTAGATTTAAAGACAAAACAGATCTATAAATGCAAACAACAAAAATGCTTGTTTTTACTTTTCACTTAATTCTGTTTTGTGTTACTTTGACTTTAAAGTTTATTTACTTAGCCCTTTCAAACCTTTCGGTTCATCTTCAGAGGTATGCTTCTCTGTTCAAGTATTTCAAATTTTTTAAGAGAACAATACTCTAAATGAACCGAAAGAATTGAAAGTGCTAACGAACAAAGTCCTAAAATCAGAAAAGCCCAATAATGAAGAAGAGCATTATATTAAAACAGATGGATTAACACAGATTATTAAATTTCATATATGATATTCAAATGATATATTATATAACAATAAGAATATATGATGATAGAAATCAAATTTTAATGTATGCTTCATCATTCTTAGCAAGCTGTACATTGTATAGCTTGCTATTTTACTAAAATAAATTTTGAAGATAAATCATTTGTTTAAATTTTAAAAATGAAGTGATAATGAATAAATTATTTTTAAAAACTTTAAAAAGTTACATAAAAACTTTTTAAACAATTACTTTTACAATATGTAAATTTTCACAGATAATTAACATTATGTAGTACTGCTGCTAGAAACAATCTATGACAATGAATTTAATGCTCTGACTTCTGATACAGCCTACAATTTATTTACTTGCTATAGAATAGAGGTAATTCCATGAGGCAAGAAAAACTTCTGTTCCCAAATATGATAAAAAAAGAAATCCTACTAAACTTTAAGATTCATAAGCAGTCATGTTTCTGTAAGTGAAAAGGATTGTTAAAGTTCTTTGTATTATTTTAAGGCAGTTTTTGGAAAATAAGCCTTTTATTTCCAACTTGGAAATAAGTATATTTTTTAAAGTGTACTTTAATTGTAATAAATGTGACTGTACATCTAAACTTATAATAATTGTTCCAATCTTAATCCATCATGATAAAACTTTAGGCTGTGTACACACTAGGCATTTTTAAACGTGCGTTTTAAAGAACCAAGAGTTCTATATAGGCATACACACTCAAACGCGCGCTTTTGGCCAAGCGCGCGTTTATAGATTTTTGTTAAAACGGGCGTTTTGCAGGCGCTTTGAGATATATGTGCTGAAATGGAGAACGATCATTTCGATACTGATCTATTTATTGATGAAATCTAAAAGAGACCAACCATCGTCAAAGGATTTTATAGATATTTTAAAAGAATTAAAAAACTTGGGTTCATTTTGTCTTAGTTTTGGATACAACGTCACAAACATTCCATGTGTCAGTCTATCTCGTAATAGTGGGTGCACCCAAAATTCTCTTTGCCTCTGCCATTGTCTTTTATAGCGACGATGGAGGAGGGGCACACAAGCAATTACTTTCACGTCCATTTCCAAACTGAGCCAGTGTGTATGCTCCAAAAACGTTCGTCAAACGCCAAGCTAACGTGCATTTATTAAAACGCGCGTTTAAAAACGCCTAGTGTGTACACAGCCATACTGCTCTGTTAGTGTTTTCCAAAAAACAGTTACTATTTTGAAAGCATGTATGTAATTCATTGAGTCATATCCACATTAGTAAAAATGTGCATTGTGCACTGTATTTGGTAAAAAAAATTTTGCATGTGCAAACAAATTTTTGTAAATGTAGATGTATGTGCCACATAGGAATGTGCACAATAACTTTTTCCATGCAATCCATTCATTGTCAGTTTATGGAAGGACATCAAAGGATTTGCACCATACCTGTATTTGAATGCAAAAGCTCTTGAAATCTTGACATATAATTCTGAAGGAGCCTATGTTTTTGTACTATTATAATCAAAAATATCTGATTATCTTTGTTTAATTCCATCACTATAACTTACAAAACTAATAAAAAGTACAGAAGTCTTTTAATACATGTGAATTAAAAGCACTAAAATAAGAATGAAAAAGTTCAAATGCGCAACTTGAGCATCGACATACAGCATGTAATGCGAACATTTATGTGGAAATAAATTTACATTTGCGATGAAAATATTTATGCCAAATTCTATCTTCAACTACCACACAAATTTTTACTAATGTGGATCCAGATTTACACTTTAAATGTTACTTATAGTAAGAGAATGTTTCTTATTCTGCATTTAGAATAATTTTAAATGAATATCGCTGGTAGTGGGACATTAATTTCAAAACCATTTCAAATAAATGTTTGACTTCTTAAAAGTAAGTTGTAAGTTATGAAGTTGTTATTTTCTTAGTAAAAGATTTAATATTCGGTTTTCTGAAAATCGTTGATATGATATGTTATTGAAACTCAGAGGTAAGCAACTGCTAATAATTTAATATTTTTCCTTTTCATTTCTGCAAATCCATAAGTTGTTGGAATTGCTGTAAAAGTTTATTATTGTCCTGAGGTACCATCTAACTCTAGTCTATATACCAGGGGTGGCCAAAAGCTTGTCATAATAGAAGCCAAATATTGCTCATCAGAAATATATGAGAACAGTAGTCTCTATTAGAACAGTATTATATATATAAAGTTTAAGTTTATAAAAAGAAATTGCATAAGTATACAGTAAGAATCTAGAAGAGCCACATATGCAGCTTATGAGCAACAGTTTGGCCACCGTATATACCTCAATTCTTTCTATTTATAGGAAAGAGTAATTTGCAATAGTATGAGCCAAATGGATTTAAGATGGGGAATGATTCTTAACAATCTACTGATGATGATTTAATAATATAAAAATGATATGAACCCTACATCCTTCACAGCAGGACAAGGTTATCATAAAACAGTCATTCTGTAAGTGAAATACTTGTGTGCTAAAAATACTAATATTAAAAATAGTTTGACTTATTAGAGAAAACCTGTTATATGTTTCATTATAGCTATTCAAAGGCACATTTGAAAAAATAATAAATATTTATATTTATATTTTAAATACCTTTTTTCTTGCTATTTTTAGAGGCATTGGCAGTATCATTTACTTGGATGGAAGCTTCACGATTTTCTTTGGCAGAATCATCTTCGTCTTGAGAACTCTGAGACTTTAATGGTGCTTTGGCTTGAGATGGACCAGGAAACTCTTGATTTGATAATTGGTTATTTTGGCTTATTTGACTATTTGATTGTGAATGTCTCCTCTAAAATATAAAATTATTCAACTTTAGACACATTCAAAGAAAAATTTACTATATTAGATAAGAAAAAGTATAGAAATCATACTTCATTCATATGAACTTCTCCTAATGTTGGCCAATCACTTAAATCTCTATTTTCATTTGTCTGGAAGAAAAAATAACTATTAAAGAGAAATATAACATTTTATTGCAACATTAAGTAAAGTTTAATTTTATAAAAAATAAAACTGTTATTCAATTATTTACATTTTTAAATTGTAATTTGTTTCTTTAATATTAAAAAAATGCTGAAGCAGCAATTTTATCTTCATTGTTTTATTGTTTTTTTTGGCATAACAACTGTTTACATGTTTTTCTACCTATTATTAAGCACAATTCAAATAATATTAAAAACAGTTGAAATAATAATAATAACTTCTTTATTAAATAAACTGTTACAGTTAACATTTCAATAGAAATTAAATATTTTGTATAAATTCTAAATTCCTTATCAAAGATAAACATTCTACTTTATATCTCAAAGAATACAGACGTATAGAAATCATCTTTCTCATCCAAGGTCAACAAGATGTAAAACTAAGACAACTGTTGAGAGGTCTTTTATATTCAAATTTTATCACAATTTAATTTTTATAATGTACTAGCTTACCCGTCGCGCATTGCTGCGATCTCAGAAGAAACGAAACTCAAGCAAACGCATTATGATAAAATTCAATTTACATTTTATCATTTTTATTGAAACTTATTATTATTCATTTTCATCGGAAAGTTAGTTAAACTTNTTTCAATTCTATTTATTTATTGGAGTGCTTGTGGATACACGATATTTTTTGTTTTTCGTCTGATGCGTACACGAATAAATCAGAAGGTTTTCCGACGCGTGAGCTGGCCACATACAGTTGTCCATGTAAGAAGCACAGATTCTCCAAATTTAGCCCATACACTTGCAGCGATTGTCAAAAGTGCAATATTCCCCATTTTTATATATATATTTTTAAATCCTTTATAATTTTAATTATTTAATTTCTCCTTTCTCTCTTCCTTGATATGTTATGAAATTTCTGATAGTTGGATAATAAACCGTTTTATTGCAATTTGTCTTTTTAAATTATTTTGAGTTGATATTAAAATTTGGAAAAGGGGGCTACCTAGATCGGTAAAATAGACAAATTTCCTCCTACAACTTCGGTTGTTGTTCGGGATACAGTTAAGGTTTTAACAAAGTTCCAGTGAATACATAATTAGCAAAAAAGAAGTTGAAATAAAGTGATTAAACAAAAATTATTACAAATATCGTAAATAACAGTTCACAAATGCACATATAAAGATATTTTTTGAAGGGGAAAACGGTCTTCACAATTTGAAATCGATCAAACTCACAATGCTCGTACACACTCGTATCTATTATAGGATAAATGTACTATGCCAGAAACCTTTGTGAGAGTGTATTAAAAAACTTCCCAAAGTTTCATGGCAATCGAATAAAGGATGTGGTAATGCATGAAGGACATACAGACATACATTCATTTTTATATATATAAATATATAACATTTTTAAACTAAGTTATAAGAAGTTTTCTAAAATAACTAGAAGTTTTCTAACTAGATGTTTTCTAAATAATTCCGAATACATTTATATAAATAAATCTGTTCTGTGTCGGATAATATAGGTATTAAATGATCCTATAGTATCTGTGTTATCCTGAATTAGCACCCAAGAACCTTTACTGCTGTATTTTAACTACATCTTAAGCTGTATCATTCTTAAACATTGAAAAATAGAAAGTCACTTTAATGATACACCCATATTGAAAACATATTGATGAAATATTTTTAATTCTAGCATGTTATTAACATTCCTAATGCATCCATTCCAGGAGGAATAGCTTGAGTCTATGAAAATAAAAGAGAAATAGACCCATATACAGTCGACCCCCCATAACACGGGTTCCTATAGTTCGGATTCCTATATGATGGCGAGAAAATTGCAACGGTATTCGTACAAACATGGTAAAAAAAACTACTATAATTCGGTAAAACGTCATTGGACAGCCGAACTACTTTTTGCCATCCAGCGCCACGCTAGAGAGTTTAGGCGAGTAAGTTGAGTTTACTATTGTCTGTACAGTATGTAAATTAGGTACCATAAGTCTAACACAGCACTAATTTTATACATTTCTTGTGAAAGAAACATTTCTTATTCAACGGCCTTAAAAATTATTTATATTAATGAAAATAATTTATCAGAAATTGCGCTCGCCATTTGGTGCTGCTCCGCGACGAAAACAAGCTTAAGCAATGGCGACGTTGAACGGTGCACACTCGGGTAAGTAATCCTACAGTTTTTTGTTTATAGCATAGTTTATATGGATTATTCCCAAAAAAATATACGTATTTTGGAAATGTTGAGTCGAGTTAGTCTGGGAATCGATTAATTTTATGGAAGAAAACCTTTCAAATAGCCATAGTCCGTAAACTTCACATGTGTCGGGCTGTGATTGGCAAGGTCCCTAAAACATCAATTTCATAAAAAAAAGGAATCTACCTACCATCTTATGGGGGAGGGTCGACTGTATTGACTAATATTTACTGGATTCAATTTACTCAAGACAACTAATTTTTATTTACCATAATAATAACTTATATTTTTACTTCCCAATTCTTACATTTTAATCAATTTTAAAAGCAAAAGAAAGAAAAATTATATGAAAAGATTCACTGACTCTCCAAGTTAACTATTTTCCTGAATCCTTCTACCTATTTTTTCCTTATAACTGTCATTTTAATAAATTATTGAACTGACTTTCCTCTGTACAAAGATAAAGAATGCATTGTACCTGATAAAGAATGCCATCATCTAATACTTGTTTATAGTTATTTTGTTTAAACTTCTTACAATATATTCTATATTATATAATAACAATAATAATAATTTAATTAGTTGTTATATAACATATATTAATCAAAATTTTATGATTAATATAACAGTATGTCCATGCCTGATTCCAAGTAATTTATATATGTAAAATTATGTTCAGGCAAGTAAAAATGAAACAAGGATGTTTAATGCAACAGAAATTTTCAAAACATTACTAATTTTATCTCACCTTTTCTTAATTAATCTAAAATAAATAATAAATATAGAATAAGTATTTAAATATAATTGTTATATATACAAAAATATGGTTATAATTTAGCTAATTACATTATTTAATGATTGAATAATCAATAATTTATTTATTTGTAACAGATGATTATATAATTTTGTCTTTAAATTGCAAAATTTTTTATGCCATATTGTAAAAATGGAAATTTATGCCGATTTCTCATGTAACCAAATGTTTAATTAGTATATTTGATTCCAGTTTTGCTACAAGTGTTTTTTTTTAAACATTTTTATATTTAATAAAACATTTGGTTTTCTGAAATAGTAGTATGAATTTCTATATTTATATAACTTCATATTAATTAAATTTAAAAATGATAAAAACAAGTAGCTTAGTGAAGAATCTGAGCCCATGTCTTTGCTAAAGTCTGGCTGTGATTTGACCATTCTGAATATGCTCTAAGTTGCCAAATAAAGTTTCCTTTCCTTACTACTCAGAGTACCTGGTATGAACAATAAGATCCAATGCAATCTATGTTTAGAGAAGTCTAAATTTAAGTTAATAAGTCATATTCTCATATATGTGAAATTCTGTTCACATTTATATATAGAATTTTAAAATTATTATGAAATACCATCCAGCCACCTGTGGCCTAATTGAACCATGGGCAGAAATTAAAGTTTTAATAAGTCTTTCCATCTTTTGAGAAAGATTTTTCTTCATTTCATCCAAATTATAAAAAAAATTTGATGTTTCTTCAAGATGGTTCACTCCATACCTACATACATTTATGTAGGATGAAAAATAATCTGTATAAAATTTGGAAGTGAAAATTCTCCAATAACCCTGCTATTTACATATTCATTGCATATTGAAAAAAAATTCTACTAGTATTATTACATTCTGTTGTTGAATTATTCTTATCATAATGTCAGATTCTTACGTAACTTTTCAAAAATAAAATCTAATAATTCTCATATTAATGAAGATTGAAAAAGGTATAAGATATACATTTACAGTTTAAAAAAAAATTATTTTTATATCAACATGTGCTTCTTACTCTAAATAAACCCTATTTATGAAAATTTACACACATTTTCATTCTATGAATTAATTCAAGCCATTAGTAACATACCTAGATCCTTTTCGAGCCATGATGTAATCCAATCATTTTTATTTTAATAAAGACCAGAAACCAATTTTAGCTATTATCTTATTTTAAATATTTCACTTGCTCTCCAAAATAATTTTATGCCTAGCCAATAGCATTCTTTGTTGCTAACTGACATCCCTAAAAAAATATCCAGATTCATTTAGATCAATTGGCCATTTCTTCAGCAAGACTAAAATGTTTTGAATCTAGTATGCTTTGACGTACAGTACATATTCTTCTATTACTATTTTCTTTTCAACACTTCAGTATCTATTTTCATTCCATTTTCAATTCACTTCTTAGTAATTAAGCAATCTACAACTCTGAAATATTTATAGTCTGGCTTTTGTTGCCTGTCTGGATGTAAAAAGTATTTGACTCAGTAATCCCAAGCTATCCTCTTTAAAATTTTGGGTATTGTGAATTTAGTCTGGATTCAGTTTTTATTTCATGTTTAATTTTTTGTTTTGTATTATTTGTATTAAAGTTGGAGATTTTTCCTTTAATGATTTTGCTCCTCTCCTTGGTATTCAACAATGTTCCAAATATTATTAAACACATTAACAACATACATTCCAAGGTATGCAGATGACATTAAAGTAATTAACAACTCCATCATGTTACAAATAGACTTAAATATACTAGTTATTTCCCTAAAAAACTGAACTTTGTAATTAATGTGTAAAATACTTGTTACGCACTTCTTTTTCTTGAAATCCTCCCACTCCAGAATTTTGCTGCTCCATACTTAACATGTAAATAATGAATTTAAGGTTTTTATACTATTTAATAAACCTGTTAATTTGTATCTTTCGCTAATTCTGTTAAAGAGTTAAACGTGTTAGTAACGAATTCATCAAAAAGTAGTAGTCTTGCTCAGTGCGT